CTTGTGACTCATAGCAATCCTGTGTACAAGAGCACTAAACCCTGCTCTATCCTGTGCCAACCTCACTGTCTCTGACACACCTACTGCCATTACCCTAATCACTCATCCATCTCATCAAGGATCTTCCTCTATACCACTGTCCCTTCGCCCTCCCAAACATGATGTTCCTCTCTAAGGACTGGTCCCTCCTTGCAACATGTCCAAAGTATGTCAGACGAAGCTTTAGAATCCTTGCTTCCAAGGAGCAGCCCGGCTTCACCCTCTCCAGGACAGATGTGTTTGTTCTGTTAGCAGTCCATGGTATGTTCAACACCCTTCTCCAGCACCACAACTCAAAGGCATCAATTCCCTTTCTGTCATCCCTCGTCACTGTCCACCTCTCTGACGCATGCATGCAATTGTGAAGACTATAGCCTGGACCCATAGCTGACCTCTAGCAGGTTTTCAGACACAGTTAAAGGGAGGAGACTTCCCATCCTTCTCCCGTGGAACAGCAGGTGGCCTCAAACCATGTGCCCTAGGGATTTCAGAGCAGCTTCTTGCCACTAGACCAACAGAGCACAAAGCTTAGCACTATTAACCATTTCCCCTGCATCGTTGTTGTTGTTGTGTACTGTAGAGTCGGAACCAATCCATAGTCCTCCTCTAATTGCTGGGAGGGGTGAGATGTGGGCCTGGAGGCTGGTGCAACCTGTGGGCTGATGCAGCCTCTTTCCCAGGCTCCAAAAAGCAACCTCCCTGCACCATCACATCTTGAAAACACTCTCCCTGTTGTACCTAGAGTAGGGAATTTAGTGGGCTTTTAAAAGACAAACATCTCAAGGGAATTGCTTCTAGAACCTTCTCCTTCTGCCCTGCACGAAATCTCCCTTGTGGCCAGAAGCCGGGAGACCAGGCGAGTGCCTGAAGGAAGCAAGATGAGGAAGGAAAATATAAATTACTATTTTTAAAAAAAGTATTCAAGGAAATAGTAACACACCTTTACTAATATTAATGTAAACTTGCTGTCTAGATAGACTTACACGTTGCAGAGCAATGTCTACAGAAGTACTGGCCCCTGCGTACAAGGAGGTAATCTTTTAAAGCGATGTCTGTCTGCTCAAAGCATTCATAATTTAAACCACCTTGTTCTCCCTGCCTAAGTGGTTAGCCTCGTGTCCTTTGGAAGAAAGTGAGAGAATGTGAACAAGATTAATTAAACCTTGTTCTACTCCTGTGCTGTCCTCTACATTTCCAGTTAATGAGGTTTCTGCTGAAATTACAGTAAAATGTCACAAAGTGGTGTTCGTGAAAAAAAGCTGTGGTCTTTAAGTCCGAGAGATTTAATGGTGAGGTTTTCGTTTTCTCCTGTCTTGTTAGCCTTGGCACCCAAGCCATAGCTCCTCTTAAAAGTAACTTTTCAAAGACTCACATCTTCCATTTGAGAACTGCAGCTGGAGGAGGCCCCGCTAGAGGAGACTAGACCTTCTTTACCGCATCATGTGTGGCACCTCCCCTATTCCGAGACTTCATTTGTCCAAACTTTCTAGTTCAAAATCAAAGCCAGTTGCCACCAGGTAGTCTGTGGACTGACAAAAGAACAAGCAGCTATGTCCTGGAGAAGGTGCAGCCTTAGAGGCACAGATGGCGAAGCTTCGTCTTACATACTTTGAGTGTGTTGCCAGGAGAAGCTATCTTTTCCTTAGAGAGTGGTATTGTTCTTGGAACGGTGTAGGGACAGCGAAGGAGAGGAAGACCCTCCACCAGGTGGGTTAACACAGTGACTGCAGCAATGGACTCGAGTGTATCAGAGAGTGTGAGGACAGCACAGGATAGGACAGGGTTCAGGTTTGTTGTTCACAGGGTTGCGGTGAGTCCAACTCAACAGCACCTGACACCAGCCACAGTTGCCATGCGTTGCAGAGTGGAGTTCCACACAGCTTTCAGTGGCTGATATTCAGATGGAGATCGCCAGGCCTTTCTTCTGGCGAACCGCTGGGTGGAAAAACTTCCAACCTTTTCAGTAGCAGCTGAACACTTGCCCATTTGCAGTACCAGAGGCTCCATGGGGTTCTCAAGGCTGTGAATCAGAACATTAATTGCATTAGGAAAATCTACTGTCAAGGACCTCTCCAGAGTGCTCGGGAGCAATGCTGTCAGTCTAGGGAATAAGGTGTTTGTAAGGCCATGGCCTTCTCCCTTGCTTTCTGTGCTTCAGAAAGCTGGATGGTGACTAAGAAGAATTGATGCCTTTCAGTTGTGGTGCTGGAGAAGCGTATTGAACAGACCGTGGGCTGCCAAGAGAACAAACAGGTCTGTGCTGGAGAAGGTGAAACCAAGCTGCTCATTGGAGGCAAGATTTTGAAGCTCTGTCTCCTATACTTTGGGCACATGGCCAGGAGGGACCAATCCTTCAAGAAGGACATCATGCTTGGAAGGGTAGAGGGACAGCAGAGGAGAGAAAGACCCCAGATGAGATGGATTGATACAGTAACTGGGGTAATGGGGGTCGGTGTGTCGGATTCAGTGAGACAGGCTCAGGACAGGGCAGGCTTCAGAGCTGTTGTACAGAGGGTTGCTGTGTGTCACAGGTGTCTCGCATAACAACAAATCACTTGGAGGAAAGTGCCTGCCTTTTCCCACAGAACCACCAGTGGCTGTGAACTTGCAGGGGTCTGCCATCTCTGCGTTAGCAGCCACCTCCTTGTAGACTATGCCACCGGAGGTCGTGACAAAGTAATCTTAGATTATTGACACTCTGCCAGTGTAGTATAAAAGCCCTCGCAGACCACACATTAACAATAAACAGGCATGCTGGCTCCAGATACACCTTTTCTCTGCAACTTGAATTTTAATTCCATGTGTGTTTTATATGTTGTGCAATATGATTCTTCTTTTGAGTGTTGCTGAATTGTTTGAAAATGTAAAAATCACTCCTCGTTCACGAGCCATATGAAAAGAAGCAATCAGCAGTTTGGCATTTGGCCCAGCACTGCAGTTCGCCAGCCCCTGGGCTATACCACTCGGCGAAGGCCCTTGATTATTCTTGTGAATGTGCAGAAAATGCTCCCCCAGATAGCAGAGCCAGTTCCACTTGGTTCTGGAAAGGATTGTGCAATTTTCAAACAGCGGGCTTACTTCCTTGGTTACCTTCCTTCTAGTCTGGTAATAAAATTAGCCATCTTTCTAGGGGAGAGATAGAAAGAGGCCACTCTCTAGTGGTGATGAGCTCAAGGGCAGGGGGCTTGTTTGGTGACTGCAGGCCCCCGATGCAAAGGAGAGATAGCCCATGTTCATAATAAACTGTATATGCTTAATAAACTATAGAAATAGTGCCTGCTTGAGTGATGCTCTTGTGTGAAAATTTCAAATACTATTTGTACATTCTTTTTCTATTTACACATTGGCGCTCCCCCCCCCCCCCAAGCAGGAAACTGATTGCTGATTGATCTTGTTCCCTTGGTGATTTAAACCCTTCCCTGGGCTTGAAAAGGAAAGCTGCATGCTTCCTAGTACTTGTTCAACATTGGATAGATGAATCTTAGCACCAGTGGGGTTTGGGGGACTGTCTAATCCAAGCCCCATGAGTCACTGGTGGGGAAATGGAAGCCTGTGTATGTCATAGAACATTTAAAAACAGCAAGTTCTGCCTCTCAATGTCTATTCCAGGGTCACCTGTTTGCTGGAGGCAGACAAATGAATGAGATGTCAAATCTGGCAGAGAAGCTAGGCTTGCACTCTGAATCTCGCCTGTCATTTAACTCAGAGGACTCATTGCCTCCCAGTTAGTCTTGACCAAGACTGGATCTTAAAGATCAGAAGACTTTTGTGGGGTTTTGTTTTTTTCTTCTTCTTTTTTTAATTTTAATTAAATGTTCTAACATTTAACTGGCAGGTCCCTGGGTAGCACAGAGAGGTTTGTGCTCGGTTGCTAAGTAGAAGGTCAGTAGTTTGAACACACTCAGGTGGCTTAGTCTATTGGGAGTTACACAGCTAACCAATCGTCATGCCTCTTCTGCCGTTTGAATCTGTTATGCCAGTGACTGTGTGGGACAAAGATGAGGAGTCTTCTTCCTGTACAACCTGCAGCCTCAGAAACCAACAACAGTCAGCCAGGTTCTGACTCTATGGCAGGGAATTAGTTATGAGAGGAACACGATGACAGGAGCAGGCTTCTGCCCTCCTGTAAAGACAGCAGCCAAGCAGAACTAACAGACCGGTTGGTTCCTCTCGGTGATACACAAGAACTCCTAAGTCACTAATAGACAGCAGAAAGAAAATCAACTACAAAATATGTGGTTGGAAGCCACAGCACAAATACAGTCACTTTACAGGTTTATGAGATGTCAAATCTGGCAGAGAAGCTAGGCTTGCACTCCGAATCTCGCCTGTCATTTAACTCAGAGGACTCATTGCCTCCCAGTTAGAAGCAATGCATAGCTGACCCTCCAGCAGGTTTTCAGAGGCTGTCAACTGCACAGGAGGAGATTGCCCATCTTTCTTCCATGGAGCAGCTGGTGGATTCTAACCTCTGGCCTTTGGGGTGGCAGTGCACCTCCCTATCCACTAGGCTACCAGAGCTCACTGGTCTTTTTTTTTTTTTATTTTATTAAGTTTTAATGAGCATTTACAGAGATTTTGGATTTCCATTCATTCATTGTTGCACTTTCTCTCTACCCCCCACCCCGCAATTCACTCCTCTGTGAAAAGCAAAAGATAAACTCCTTCATTGGTACACAACCCCCCAGCCCCCGAGTACACACCACTATGCAACCTTAATTCTGGACTCCTGTGATAACCATAATACCCTATCATATATCGCTTTTAAACTGTTCTCTCCCTCATCCCTGGTCATTTTACAAAAGGGGAAGACAAATCTCAGAGACCTGAGAGGGTGGGTTCAAAGTGACCTCATCTAGAAGTACCTCTTCGTGTTGCTAGTGTCTGGGGGTGGGTGGATGTGTGTCCAGCCTGTGCTGTTTTGAATACCCGTCACCTGTTTTGTGCCTGTGTCTCTGCAGCCAGCCGTTCTTCTCCACCACCAGCCCGGACCTCCCCAGACCCCGCCGCTTCCACTTCCAGTCCAGCTGTGCCACCTGCTGCAGATGCCTCGGATCAGGGCCAGCCCGCGGTCACTAACAGCCCAGAGCCTCGGGGGTGAACTGCACTGCCTGGCCATCTTGCAGACAACAGCTGGCCCTGGGGAGCTGGGGCCCAAGCGTTAATGCTGATCAACTCCTTAACATGTCTTGTCAGCTGGATGCAAACGTTGTACTTGGTGTCATTTTTCTTTTTTAAATCTGATGACTAGGAAGTACTCAGAGGATATACCAAAGGTTGCCAAGCAACGGCCCATAACAACAACAACATCATCACTCAAACAGAAGGAACTTCCTGTCAGTGGTGGCACATGGGAGGTTAACTGGGCCGTCCTGAGTTTTCGTTCCTGCCAGCTGAGTGTAGGTATCCAAATGTGACCTGTGCAGTTTCCACATCCTGACACACTGAGACTCATTTCAAGCCTTTGAACTTGACATTCCTCATAAGCAGCTTTGGTGGCAGGCAGTCATGCTGCCAGTTCCATTGCAGTGTCTTGCTGGTGGTTCAAAGCCACCATCAGCTCCTGAGGGCACAGATGGGGGGTCTCCTCCATGCAATTTACAGCCTCCAAAACCCACTGTGGGGTGAGCTTTGAGTTCCAATTCAAAGCCAGTGAGTTAAGTCGAGTTTTTTAATTCTTTGTTGGAAGCCCTGATGGTTAACGAGCTCCCTGCTAACTACCAGGTTGTTGGTTCAAACCTATTAACTGCTCCTTCAGACAAAAATGTGGCTGTTTGCTTCAGTACAGACACACAGCCTTGGAAACCCTATGGGGCAGCTCTGCGTGCCCTGAGGGGGCACTCTGGGTGGGCATTGAGGTGTTTGTCTTGGATTTGGTTTAAGGTTTTAGCTCCTCGCTGATTTCTTTTTACTAAAGAAGGAAAAACCGTGGCTTCACCACAGGTGGACAGTGTTTACGTACATGCGTTGGCCATAGCCCTGCTTCTCCAAGCGCCAGGACCAGGCTTCTCTCTGACACCCAGCGGGATGTTAGGCTCCCTGGGGTTAAACAGGACATGAATGGATGGAGGAAAGGTGATGGCTTTGCAATGCAGCTTGCGTTTCCCCCTTGGAATTTCCCTAGGTCGTTGTGCTTTGGAATCATGATTTCATGCCATTATTGTTGGGTATCATTTCCTTTTCAATTGTACTCCTTAAAGTAACATGTTTGAAAATCCTTCGTATTCACCTGTAGCCTCCTCCACAAACTACCCATTAGAAATAGAACGGCAGCAGTGGGAAATGCTGAAAACAAGCCTTTAGTTCATAGTCTCATCTGCCCCACACCTTCCTGCCTGCCTGAGTCCCACATTTTTAGGAGTCTGAGTAGAGGGGTGTGTGGGTGTGGGTATGTGTGTGTGTTTGAAAAAGAGGGGGAGAGAGAAAAAGAGGACGAGCAGATACGTCTGCACACTGTTTGCTGCTAAGGTAGTAAATAAATCAGTAATGCAATATTGTGGGTCTGAACTACTCTTTGCACTACTTTATTTACAGTAGTAAATAAAATTATTTTTATATAGTTGATTCTTGAGAAGTGTCTTTTTTTCCCTTCCTGGTACCTACTTCTGTCATCACGCAAAGTCCTAGTGGTGACACATTCTCTTTGAATGAGGAGGGGGGAAAAGAAAAGCCATTTTTGGAGGAGATAGTAATTTCTAGGGATAAGAAGGTAGCAGAGGGGCCCCTCCCCAGGAACCCTAAGCTCAGGCTGTGCCCCGTGCTGTGTGTTTCTAGCCTAGTTGTGTCTCTGAAGCTTTGCATTCTATCCATGCTGCACTGAGTCTTCTCTTTGACTAACTGTGCCCGGTTCTTGTTTTGACAAAGGCTGCCCCTGCTGACAGACAAGGCCAGGTTTCAGAATCCAGCAGTCCTAGATTCAGATTCTGGCTGTACAGCTTACTCGTTCAGATGCCATGAGTCAGTCGTTACCCTTACCTGAGCCTCAGATTCTCATTTTATAGAACAAGGTGATAAAATCCACACCTCTTGTCAAAAGGAGCTCTAGTGGCCTCGTGATAAGTATCTGTGCTGCCAACATAAAAGTAGGTGGTATAAAACAACTATGAGATATCATCTCTCCCCGGTCAGAATAGCAAAATTTAAGAACAGCAAGCGACAAATGCTGGCGAGGTTGTGGAGAAACTGGAACCCTTATTTACTATTGGTGGGAGTATAAAATGGTGCAACCACTGTGGAAGGTGGTGTGGCGCTTTCTCTGTCACTGTGTCAATCCAACATTCGTAAGAACAGCAGGGACTTCAATGATAGGCTTGAGCATTTTAGGAGATGATGAGGATGGCACAGGATAGGCAAAGTTCACATCTGTTGTTCATAGGTTCGCAGTGAGTCACAGTCGACTTGATGGCACTTAACAATTTTTTCACAGGTTCACTCTGAATGGGAGGTTACAGCACCTAACAGCAGCAACTTGAGCTTACCATGAGGCGGAAGTACAATAGTGTCTGTCGAGGCCCCAGGACAGTGTCCTGAACATCACCAGTTACTATTTTTAATAGAAGACCTGACAAGTCGGGAAGGTGCCTTTTTGCTCTACTGAGATCACATTTTCAAGAAACAGTAATGCCAACAGACACAGAAGAAATGCTCAAAATCACTGGCAGTAAGAGATGCAAATCAAAACCACAATGATATACCATCTCACTCCAGTAGCAGTGGCAAAGTTTAACAGGACAGGAAGTAATAAATGTTGGAAAAGATGTGGCAAGACAGGAATACTTATACATTGTTGGTGGGATTGTGGTACAACCACTCTGGAAGGCAATTAGATGCTTGGTCAAAAAGCTGAACATAGAAATTCCATGTGATCCAGCTATTCCACTGCTTGGAATATACCCTGAGAAAAAGAACCGAGGCACAAACAGAGACTTGTACACCAATGTTCATAGCAGTGTTATTCACCATCACAAGAACATGGAAACAGCCCAAATGTCCAACCACAATTGGATAGATTGAGAAATTATGGTATGCTTAAACAATGGAATACTACTCAGTATGCAGGAGCAATGATTTCAAAAATTACTACCTAAACTTGAGGGACTGGAGAGCATTATGCTAAGTGAACTAAGTCCCATAAGGACAAATACTGTATAAAACCATTATTGTAGAACATGTATGAGAATCTAAGTGGAGGGGGAAGCAGAAGGGGAGTTAATCATAGAGCCGCACCATTTGATGGGTGGACTGAGGGGTGGGCAAAGGAAATGGGAAAGATCTTCCTGCAGAAGACTAAAGACTACAGCCTTCAATATGGATCATCTCAAGATCAAGTAAACAAAAGTCCTACCCACTGGACCAATAGGCAACATCCTTGAGTTTCCAAAGTTTTAAATCACAAGAGGAAGAGACTGCCCCTCTTGTCTCCCTCACAGCCACTAATACTTGTGAATTGCTTGAGAGGGCACAGCCGTGTGTTAGCAATACTACTTGCTATCCTCCTTCACCTTTAGAATCTTTTAAAGACAAAGACCATGTACCTCAATTTGGAACTGCCCTGAAAGACCACCAGCTCTGAATGCCGTGTTGGTTGCAACCTGATTGTAATTCAGCTTTTCCCTCTGTCCGGTTCTGCCTTCCCCACATCTTTAATGAATCTCCTGACTGTACGTGTTCAAAATCTTCATCCCAGAGTCTTGTTCTAAGGTAGAGTCTTAAGACAACATCGAGAAGACTGGCTCAGGTTCAGAATCAGAAAGACATCGTAATCTCAGCTGGTTGGCCTTGAACACTGAACAATAGGAAGAGTGAGAGTGACTCCAGGGCCAAAACACCTCTAGTGAGTCTGGTCGACCATTTGTCAAGCCATTTAGTCTCTTGGGTTTTCTCAAGACTACATGATCTAGATCCATCCCATAACTCTCAAGCAGAACTTTCTTCTTCTTTCCCCAGTTAATTAACATAATTCTACAAGGTTAGTGTCCAAATTGAACCCAGCCAGTCAAGTTAGCATAAGTTGTGTGGAAACGAGAAGGGGAAAGCTGGTGTCCACAGTTAACACTCAGTTATGTTCTTGTCCCTCAGTTGGGCTGTTATACCAGATGGACAGACTAGCAGACTATAAAGCAAATATAGTCCATAGATGTGACTTATTTGACCCACCCAATATTTTTCGGTTTTTCAGTTTAATGACTAAGGTATACCTGATCCAAGCCATGTAATGTCCAGTAGCTTCGTGTGAATCTGAAATTTGGACAATGAATATGGGTAACAGAAGAATCAATGTCTTTGAATTGTGTTGGAGAAGAGTTCTGAGATCCTATGGACTATCAAAAGAATGAACAAATCTGTCTTGGAGGAGGAGTAACCCAAGCACCCCTTTGAGGCAAGAATGGTGAAACTTCACCTCACATACTTTGGTCATGTTGTTAGAAGAGGCCAGTCCTTGGGAAAAGACGTCATGCTGGGAAAGGTGGAGGGTCAAAGAAAGAGAGGAAGACCCTCAACAAGATGAATTGATTGAAACAGTGACTGTAACAATGGCCTCGAGCACGTCCTGATGTGCAGGATTGTTGTTGTTGGTTTTGTTTTGTTTTGTTTTGTTGTTGTTGTTATGTGCCATCGAGTCGCTTGCGACTCATAGCGACCCTATGTACAACAGCCCTAAACTCTGCTCTGTCCTGTGCCAATCGCACTGTCTCCAACACACCCATCCTGATTACTCCAGTCACTGAATCAATCTACCTCATAGAGGGCCTTCCCCTCCACCCTCCTAAGCATGAAGTCCCTCTCCAAGGACTAGTCCCTTCTTACAACATGTCCAAAGTATGTTAGACGGAGATGTGCAAGATACACAAGATTAAAAGATGTTCATCGGTGCACTATGAGTTCTAGTCAACTCAGTGGTGCCTAATAACAACAATGTTTTTTTAAAATTGGACTTAGTTGGAGGACCAAGACGGTGGCAGTGGCAGAAACAATGTAAGGAGCTGCAGGAGCAGCAAGCCACCATGGCCCTCTACAGTCCTCTGTTTATTAATAATTGAACAATTAAACAGTTGATTATTGAGCTTCAATATGGATCGAGGCTCAACATCAAAAGATCAA